TGATAACAAACATGAAAATCTTTTCTTCGCTGATAATTCTAAAACTAATTCTAAAACTCAATGCAGATAGTTTTTAATAGCCACTTCTGCTCAACTGCTGAGAGAGTAATAAATGAACTTGAGGTTCCTCAGCTAACTCTTGATGACTATTTAAAGTGTATACCACAGAAAAATATCCCGTGTTTTAGTTTTCAGCCAGTGAACTTTAGTGAACTTTAGTTTTAGAACATTTAACACAAAAATTAATAAAAACAATTAAAGATATAATTGTTCAACCTCTAATAACTTTAATAAATCAATCAATATCTTGTAATACTTATCCTCAAGTTTTCAAAACTGCAAAGGTAGTACCTCTGTTTAAGAATAAAGGCTCTATTGATGATTATAACAATTATCGACCCATTTCTTTTTTGCCCATCTTATCAAAAGTTTATGAACGAATTTTAAAAGATCCAATAAATCTACATTTTGAATCTTATAAACTGTTTGCCATAAATCAGTACGGATTCCGAAACAATAAAACAGCAACTTTAGCTATTGATCATTTTACTAGCAATGTTTTAGAAGGGTTTGAAAAATATCTTGATGCTCTTGCATCGTTTTTAGATCTTACTAAGGCTTTTGATTGTGTCACACATAGTATTCTGCTTAGAAAACTTTCTTATTATAATTTTCATAGTGATGCTATTCAACTACTTGATTCTTATCTATCAAATCGTGATCAATATGTTCACTTCAACCAGTGTGATTCTCAAAAAGAATCTCTATTGTTTGGTGTCCCCCAAGGCTCGGTTTTAGGTCCAGTATTATTTCTTATCTATATTAATGATCTAGTGTACTCTCAAAATAAAACAGTTAACACTGTTAACACTGTTTTATTTGCTGATGACACTACTTTCTATGCTAGCTATCACCCTTCTGAATTGGAAACCATTGATCACATGAAACATGTGAAAAAAACTTATTTAATTGGTTTTTAACTAACCGTCTCTCTTTGAACAACTCTAAATCTCAAAATGTTAATTTTATTGGTTTCCAATACTACGGTTTCCAATACTAAAAGAAGAAATCAATAACAAGAATATACCAACAATATAGGATTAAGAAACTCTAAGACACATAGTCTTCAATCATACACAATACGCGAACATTCACACACATATACAGACACACATGCACACACATACGCACAAACGCTTATAACACATATTAATAATAGAGAACACTTGAATAATCAGAATGAAATTACCTCGTTAATAACGTTGAAGGTACTCTTTTTAACAAAGTTCTTAAATAATCTTTTTTGTGAACGATTTCTGGAGTTGAAATCGAAACGTCAAGTCCTTTTAGTTAAAAACGTAATTATCATTGACATCTTCCGTTAAGAGATTTAGTAAATAATTGCTTCTAACATCTATAAATGAATAAATCATTTTCAAATATATACAGTCTTGTTTTATACTGCGACATATTAATACTGATTATTAATTTAACCCTCTGAATTGTTTGGATATACGCATTAGTTGGTCAGACAGTCTCAATAATTTCATTAAAGGAAAGAGAAAAAAAGCATCATTGCAACAAAAATTGAAAAATTAAAAATTAATAGCGTAACAGGTAGGATTCAGACGTGGTTACTCGACTCTTGTCTAGGGGGACCCATCAATACATTCTATTTAGACAAACCATGTAGACTGGTCACGGTTAGAAGATAAAAACAATTGGGGTAAAACAGGTAAAACAGGGGCGAGGATTTTAATTAGGATTCAACTTTATGAAATAATTTAACTTTCGCATATAAATTTCAATAAGCAATCATTTACATATGAATCGGTTTTTTATGAAACGTAGAGTAAGTCATAAAACTTAAATTTTATATGAGAAACAAAAAACCGTTTCCAGGAGATTAGATGTTGATAAATTATTTTAAATACATAAAATTTGACTTAGTATGATCCAAAAATAAACGTAGTTATTGATATAGTTTTTTTTATCTAAAACATAAAAATAAGCTATTAAACGTGAAAAAATAACAAGAAACTATTGCCAAAAACATTTATGTACTGTTATATTACATGTGATGATGTAAGAAACTATTCCCTATCGGCGAGTTGGCCAGTCTTGTTACGTATTATAAAATTCTTTGTGCTCTTCTGGTAATAGGCTAGGTGGGATCTGTAGAAATTCAGACCATAATGGACATTTTCCATGGAAAGCTATTTTTTGCTGGAATCCCTTCAGGATGTGCCCAATATCGATAAACACGATATGCGCCCGTCGCAAAACCTGTGCTAAATTTTTTATTTAACAAAATCTGAAAAGAATTGAAAATTTCTCATTTTTTTGCTCCTATTTTCGTTTATAATTCGGAAAATATTGATCATAGAGAAAAAATTATAAAAGTTAAAAGTTTTGTTATTCAATTTTACACAATATTTCGTTAGCTAGAAATTGAAAATTTAATGTTTATTGTTGAAAACATAGCAATAATTGGAAAAAAAAGTACAAAAAAATTAAGTTAGGTCTTTAAATGTTTTCGACTTTCTAAACTTGACTTACAAGCTCCGTATTTCGCCTAGAAAAAACTTTTTAACATGTTTAAAAACGTGTGCTTAATTTTGTTAAGATCGGTCAGATAGGTTTTGCATAATAATTTTGTAATCCAGCCTACTGGAAAAATATCGCAAATTTTCAAATGTATAGTAGGCCCTAAATAAGGCTCTCAGATAGTTGCAATTTTTTTACATATAAAGGAAGGCTTAAACTTTCAAAAGCTTTTTATAAAATTCAAATCGGTTCTCTAGGAGAGCCTAGAAAATTTTTAAAAGTTTTAAACATTTTTTAGGCGTGTAAACAAATTGAAAAACTTTACGAGCTTTAAAAACATATCAATTTCAAAATTTATACAGTTAAAAAACATTAAAAAACGCTTATTAAAAAAAAGATACATTCGGCTTACTGGTTGCCGAGATATTGAAGGTCAAAGTTGGAATACATTTGCGTGTAATCATAAGTGATAGAGGGCTCGTTTTTAGACGTTGACGCTATTTTTTAACTTGCTCAAAATCACCTTGACCTTGTTGGCAGGTGGTGCAGGAGATGACGAGTAACACCGAACCCGAACAAAACTCAAATGATTGTCTTCAGACATCCATATCTCAGCAGATACATCACACCAATCATATCCGAAAGACATAACCTTAGACTTTGGGAAGACCGACTACAGCTCCGGGACCAGATCGAGTACCTTTTCAAACACTTAACTGGACGGCCGATCTGGACAGAGCCTGTAACAAAGCCAGGAGCAGACTTGGACTACTCAATGCTCTTTGTGGTAAATTCGGAAGAACACACCCACTCACACTAATCCATACCTATAAAACATTCATTAGTATAGATATAATATCTATATTATGATGCCCGACCATAACACACAGAAACTGCTTACTTTAGAAAGAAGGATTCTGGGTAGAGTAAATAATAAACGTCTTGACTACCCCTCTGCCCTCATACATAAATTTTTAAATGTTTAGCCCATCAATGAGAGACTTCACTTTCTGAGCAGAAGTTGTACATTACCCCCAATCCGCGGCCATAGCCTCAGATCCCAACGCACTCTTAAAACTGTCTGCTCATCCCTCGGCAATGTATTCAGAAGACACCCTAAACCAAAATTCACTTTCCTACCCTTTATTTTGCTGGACCTTGCCAGCAATGAACTCCCTGATGAATATATTGACATACTGGATACAACTCTCCTTTAACTTAAATGCTCACTTCGAGCCTGCCTAGACAAGGGGGATCGGTTTTTTGTGGTTTCCCGATCCTATTGCAAATTATACCTGTCTATTGTTGAGGTTACAGCGACAGCTACCCTCTCGCGTCGCGAATTTATACAGTTATTAAAATCTAATAAACTCAATTTCAATTTTATTCTCTATATATATATATATATATATATATATATATATATATATATATATATATATACTAATCTTTTTTTAGACAAATAAATTCGGAAAAGGACCGTTTCACACTTTGCCTGTCGCCTCTGATTGTCCAGCAGCTCTTCCGACGAGCACCAGTGGGCCTGCACAACGATGACAGCGAACACACACCAAAACAATCAATCCACGTCCTGAGGAGGCAGAAGGCCTAAAACTGGACAGTAAATCAACCAGACACAAGAAGACATCCAAAATAGTATACAACATGAACAATGGTACTACAACGCGGCATCAGTTTCAGCTTACAAGCGAAGCAGTAACATCTCCAGAAGATGCCAACGCCTAGTGTTTGGCGAAACGTCGAGAACTAATCTCAGAAGACAAGGGCCTAACTGTAAAACACAAATCTGGTCTAGTGCCAAGCATCAAATACATCAAGATATCAAGTACCTCCTTATATGAGACTTTAAAATCAGTTTAAGCTCCTTTTTTTTTTAATGTAAGTTAGGTTCCATTGGAGTTGTACTAATCTTGCAATTTACCATAGTAAACGATTAACAATTTTTGTTAATCGTTTAAACTAAATTTTTCTGGCTAACAACTAAAGTCTTATCTTTCTTTTCAATTTCTAATCCCAAAAAGACAATCTTTGTTTCATTTGATTAATCATTTAATTCTTAGATTTTCTATAAATTTAATGTTAAAAATTTGACATTATCTTCAGAAATTGAAATAACAAAAATATCGTCTAACCATATCAAAACATAAGTTTTTCTATTGAAAACCAAGCAAGAAGGGTCAACCTTTTAAATCCTAAATTATATAAATGCTTATTAACAGTTGTATTATAACATTTAGGGCTTTCTATTAAAGCATATAAAGCTTTTACCAACTTACATACTACACCAGGTTTAAAACACTTAGACCATCTGATGGCTTTAAAAATACATCATTTGATACTGGACTTTGAAAAAAGCAATTTTCACATCAAGTTGATGAATATCCATATCACGATCTACAGCAATGGCTAACGGTACCCTCAGGGTAATTAATCTAGCAGGTACATATGTCTTCGTTGTCCAATGCTGGCTGCTGATAGCCTCTGGCCACTAGTCGAGCTCTTTTCACTAACTGACCAGCTTTAGGTTCTACCAAAGTCCAGGTACCGTTGCTTTCTAACGCCAAAAGTTCTTTATCTATAGTCTCCTTCCATCCATTCCCCATCTAAATAGCTTCAGTGTAGTTTTTAGGTAATTCAGAAGGTAGACAGCCAGCAGATCAATCCATTATCATACTCAGTTCATAGTCATCAAGATAAGAAGGCATACGTCTATCCTTTGAACTTCTACGTACTTCGTGTTTTTATTCCTATCAGGTTATATTACTTTAGGTTCAATTTTAACGGGAAAAACTACCGTTGTTAAGCATAAAATTGATACTAATAATGCTAAGCTAATTCGTCAAACAGCTCGCGAAACCAATTACCAAAACCGATTACCACAAGCGAAAAGAGTCTTACCGAAAAAGGAGAGCTCCTATGAGACAATATAATGTTGGAAGCCCGTTTGAAAGAATAGCTTTGGACATTGCTGGGCCATTTCCAAAAAATGAAAATAGAGGCAAGTACATGTTGGTAGTAATGGATGACTTCACTAAGTGGGTCGAGATTTACGCACTTCCAGACCAGAAGGCCACCACCGTTTGCAGATAAGTTGATCCAAGAATATATCAGCCGATTTGGAATGCCTTTGGAGATCCATAGTGACCAAGGCAGGAACTTCGAAAGCGATCTATTCCAAGGAATATGTGATAGACTAGGTATGAAGAAAACAAGAACTACGGCTTATCATCCCCAATCGGATGGTATGGTAGAACGAATGAATAGGACATTTGGCAAGTATTTGATAAAGATGGTGTCCGATCATCAGCGAGACTGGGACCAATATCTTCCGAATCAACAGGCCAGACACCAGTCAGAGTCCTATTCGGACACAAGATGCGACTACCTTGTGATCTAGAGTTTGGGTGTCGACCTGGAGAAGATGTAGCGGGTGAAGATTATGTGATCGAATTTCCAAGAAGAATGGACGATGTACACGAGTTGGTCCGTTCCCATCTCCAGATCGCTAGTGATCGAATGAAGAAACGGTACGATACGCAAGCCGAAAAGGGGTGTTTTAAGAAGAACGACAAAGTCTGGCTCTATAATCCCAAAAAGCGAAAAGCTTGTTCTCACAAGTTGCAGCAGTTTTGGGAAGGCCCATACTTAATTATGGAGAAGATCAACAATGCCATCTACAGAATAAGCAAGATTTCGAGGGGAAAGTCGATGATAGTACACCATAACCGGCTGGCGTCGTTCGAAGGTGACCACGACGTAGATGAAGAAGTCGAAGTAAATCAAGTCCAAGATGTGTCTGACCTCACGTTTGAGGAATTCATGGGTGCCTATGGAGGTACCGGTGAAGCAAGACATAGTGTTACCACTGAAGAAAGGCAAGATCTACTCGCGCTTCCCGATGACTACTCACTGGCGCTTACTATCCCGGCCAGTATCAAAGACGCACCAGGGTTGGCATCCGTCTTTCGAAGGAAGTTCGGTCGAGTTGCAGAACTTCAATGCCAAGTGCCAGCTCCCGGAAAAGCCTTGAAACTCCAAGATGCATCACGTTACCTTTTCTACCTGGTAACAAAAGACACTGCCCGTGACCAACCTACCTACCGAGATGTATGGGAAGCCTTACTTCAATTGAGAGAGCACTTACTAGAGTCCGACGTGCAAAAGTTAGCCATGCAAAGTGGAGTGCTGCCAATTATATTGGAGGTTATCCGAAATATGGTGTAGAGATCTGTAAAGACACCGAAGTCCAGGTGTTAGTCTGTTGCAATCCGCATAGTTACTGTGACGGAGAGAAAACCGTCCCTTGTCATTTTTATACAACTGGAAGTTGTAAAAGGGGGTCCAGTTGCCGATACCAGCATGTCGTTCCAGTTCCAGTCCCGACAAGGTTCCAGGAGGAACCATCTTTTAAGAGGGGGGCAATGTTACGTAAAAATTAGTCATATTAAAAAAAACCTGTAAACATGTTGTTTATTTACTAAATATGTTGTAGATTCGACGAGACCCTTCGATCAGCTGGTAGAAATATACCTGAAACGGTCGTTCGAAATTTCCAGAAACCGGTCGAACGATGACCCAGCCAATTTACTTTCTGGTATAATCGGAAGGATTCTCCAGACCCTTCTAGATAACGGTGTTTGGATATAAATACAGGATTTTTATTGTGGCCAGTTAGTAAGAAGATAAATTCGCGCTCGCGTATTAAATGTACGGTCGTAATAAATTATTGTAAAATAAATTAGTACAAATAAAGACTTTAATAAATTTGTGAGTGTTATAAATAGAACCTTTAGTAAATTAAATTAAGAACAATAAATTAGAATTATTAAAAATAGTTCAATACTAATGTTGTAGTTAAAAATAAATGAGGATTTACACAGTATTACCGTCACATTGAATTCATTAAATTTATTGCATTAAATGCCACTCCCCTTATTAAAAAATCAATTATTTAAACTGAATGATCTAAAATAAGGTTTAATTCTTTTTTCTGAAATAATTTTATAAATCCAATTGATACGTTATAATAATAATTTGTATTTCCATTAATGGCATTACGGGTATTTGAGGTTAATAAACTGTTACGGTAATTATTTCCATTAGTTTGAATACACGTTTATGCATAAAATGCTCAAAGAATTTATTCCTAGATAGAAAGTTTATAAATAAATTTGATTTGTAAATAAAGTAAAAAATTTACTATAAAAGTAGTAATAGGTTAATATTATTATACAATTTTAACTATGTAGTTATAAATTTCCATTGAAGTCGTGTGTATTAATGATCGTTGCTGCGTTTAGATTGCATCAAATGAGAATAATATATTAATATAGCTAGTACAGACAAAAGACTATCTCCCGATAAAACACTTTTTATACAAAGACTACATGCTACTTGTCCACCATTATTTGGATTTGATTCAAACAGAACCTGTCATGCGCTTAAGACGTGGATTATATCTGGTGTAAGTCAAACTTAGTGAAACTTACACTAAGTGAAACTTAGTGTAAGGGTGGAGGCCGAGGTTAGACAAGAGAAGCAGAGGAAACCCCCTACTCATTCGATTGACGATCTCAACAAAATGTCAAGAAATTGGATGAAAGTACTCAAGATAGAGCACAATGGACAAAAATCAGGACGGCCTATGTCCAGCAGTGGACTCAAAGGGCAGGATTATGGTGATGATGATGATGATGATGATGAAGTGAAAATACAAAACTAATAACAATGAAAAATATCATTGGATGACGGAAACAATGATTGACTAATCGATTCTCGAAGACAACAAATACTTTGAAAAACAATATCTCCAAATAATGGAAAAATGGTAGACCAAGAAATATAAAAGGCATTTAATGAAGACAAAGTTAAAAGTTAGATAAATAATGATTATTAAAATTTTTCGATATTTTTTGTAACCAAATTTAAGCAATCAGTATTTAATAATATATTTAATAATAATTATGGATAATTTTGTTAGCTGACTCACAACGAATATCACTGAATTGCTCTAAACGTATGCAACTTACAGTGCATGTACAAATGGAACCGTAACTAATTGTATGACACTAAGTTTAAATTGTTTTCTCATCTAAAAGAAAAGATTTTTAAAAAGCCTGTACATACACTCACCAGTACGAAAATCTAAGTGTTTGCATGTTTAAAATAAAAACTTAAAATTTTATTTCTCTTTAAACATAACGTAAACACAAACGAAACAAACTGTTTTAACACTAGAAAGTCGGAGGGGCCAATTTGGCCCCTGTTGCGATTTGAAGTTATTGTAGTTCTTTTATTTGACACAATAATAATTTCATATTTTATGACTTTTAATATTTTGATACAAAGTCTTATTTAACGCAAAAAAGTATTGTTTACTAAATTTATTAAATGGATTTTCTAACAAACCTACCATAGAAGTCTGAAAGGGCCAAACTGGCCTTGTATTAATTATTATTCCGTTTTCTCGGAAATTTGACGATTTCTTTTAACTTTCTGTCAGATAGATAAAACTATGTTTATGTACGTTTATTCCTATAGGTTCTGCTGACTCTCGTTTCTAGAATATTGAAACATTCGTTCAATTGTGAAAATTCAAGATGACCGTAAAGATGTCTCGTCGTGGACTATCAGAGCTTGAATTTCTTGAAGGAATACGAAAAATACAAGAAGATGTTTCGGGAGATGAATCTGAATTTGCAGAAAATAGTGAGTCAGACGATAATCAATACATACCACCACAAAATAATGATTCAAGTGACTCTGATGCTTCAGAGCAGTTAGAAAGTTTTATTGTACAAGACTCACCAATTTATGTAAACACTGCTTCTACAACTCAACAGCACGAGTCAGCTAATTTTATCGTGAATCCAAGTCACAAGAGAAAAAGAGGTCAACAAGAAAACTATTTCAATCGGAGACACCGAACAATCGAAAGACGGAACAACGTGGAAATTTATTAATTCTGGATCAGTACCTGATAAGATTATTATTTTTAGTATCTTCATATCATTGAATGTTTGCTCATTACAGAAGACCGCGCTCAGCACAACATTTATCGAGAGGAATCAGGTCCTACGTCGTATGCAAAATGGAACGTGAGGAACAATTGTGTGGTAAGTGCTTGGCATCGAATAATCAACGACAGCATGTTACGTCATATAAAAGAATGCACTATTGCAGAAGCACATCGATGTTTTAAAAATGACACATGGACTATAACTTTGGAAGAACTGGAGGCTGCCCTTGCTATTATGTACGCAAGAGGAGTCTACGGCGCCAAAAATTTTCCAACCAAAAACTTGTGGTCAACAGTACGGGGTCCTCAGTTTTTTAGGCAAACTATGCTACGAGACAGATTCAAGGATATTATAAAATATCTCAGATTGGACATAAAGCAAACGAGATCTGAACGAATGAAAACCGACAAATTGCTCTAGCCTCTGCGGTTTGGAATGGATTTATAGAAAATAGTGGTGCATGTAACAAACCGGGACTAAACCTTACTGTGGACGAACAACTACTGCCTTCTAAAGACAGGTGCCTGTTCACACAGTACATATCAAATAAGCCGGATAAGTGTGGAATGAAATTCTGGCTTTTG